CCCCTGCCTTTTTTTTTTTTTTAAAGGAAAAGACAAAGGAAAAATGGAAGTGGTGTTCCCCACCCCTCCCTGCACCCATGTGCCTGGGCTTCCCCTTTGTGTCCCTTTTCCACTTAACCCCCTGATGTGTGTCTCTACCACCACCTTGCCACTGAGCCGTAAGACAAATGTATAGGGAGAAGCAAAGTCTATAGAACATAGTCTTTGTTAAGGGATTGAAGTGAACACTGCTTTGGGGTGCATTGAGGGGTTTTCAGTACTTCTGGCTTTATGAGGGCTCTTAAATTTTGTCTGAAAAACCAAAGGGCTGTGAGTAGGGAGCTGTGTGGAAGGTGGGATTTTGAAGTGTATTTTGGAAATTAATCACCACCCTCTCCAAAATTATAGAATTTTTAAAAAACAAAGAAGCTGTGGCCCTTTCCACTCTCTCCTGGCCTCTGGTGCTGCTCCTCTGCCTCATTCCCTCCATTCCATAGCTTCAAACCTGTCTGGTGTGGCTCCATCCTTTTGCCCCTTTGTCATACCTCTTCAAATGAGTAATAGGTAAGAGGACTAGGTCAGCACAGTCACCTTCCCAACTGTGGTGTTTGTGTGTTTGCACACATACACAGGGTGGGTGGAGAAGAGGTTGCTGATTAAAATACACTCCCCCTGAAAAGGGGAAGGAGGAGTGTGACACTTTATTTCCATGTTCAAATGAAAATAAATAATGTACCCTGCAGCCCTTTGCCCCTTTGCTTTCTTCTGGCTTGGGCAAAGGGCATCATAGGTGAAAATGAAGTAATTCAATATCAGTTCCTTTCTTGTTTTTCCTCCCCCACCCTCTACCCTCACTCCCACGCTTGGGAGCATGCACTGGGGCTGGGACATGCACTGAGTGTTGCACTTTTATTTGGGTAGGGAGGCATGTTGAATGAGCCAGGACGCACAGAACTGGAGCCTAGTCCAGCTGATACAATACCACCTTCCTTTTCAGCTCCTCAAAGTGATGTCCAGACACAGACTTTATGATTATTATATTTTTTTTCAATGCCAGTGCTGCTCAGCCCTCAGCATTACTTCAGTTTTCATGAAATAAACAGTGACTATAAAATTCCACCTTTCTGAAACTGAAATCTGAGCTCAGGTGAAAGTTTTTTCTTTCCCAAGAAGCTGAGCCTGTGTTCCGTCAAGAGAGAGAAGGTTCTCCAAGTGAGGGGAGCTGCGCCTGGGTCCTGCCTACAAGTCACAGCAACACCAGCTCACAATGGGGGTCTCAACTGACAGAAGCCAAAAGTCTTAAGACAATGGGTGACCCAGACTGCTGTAGAGGTCAGGCCTGCGGTGCTGGAACACAGGCAGGTTTTGGCGCAACTGTCGCAAGTAACTGAGGTCAATTCGGGCAAGGCAGAGGCCTGGTCCTTCAGAACAGCGGGCCACCACAGTTCCCCAGGGATCTACCACCATGCTGTGGCCATAACTTGCTCTCTTTTCATGATGGCGTCCACACTGTGCTGCCGCCACTACATAGCACTGGGTTTCAATGGCACGGGCCCGCAGCAACACCTGGGGACAAAGAGAGGCATTCACTTAAGTCCATGAACAACTAGTGGGGAAGTGATAGGCAATGGACATTACAGGCCTGTCTACGCATTGTGACCATTCTGATAAATTGCCTATGAATGATTTACTATGTTAACTATTCTGAGAGACAATGATCTGTGGAAATGAATTTTCCCTCTAGGTGGGAACGGGAAGAAAATCTTTCAAATGGTAGAGCCAAGGGGAGAGAATAAGGTTCAGAGAAGGCCCTTATGTTCTGAAGAGGTGTTCTCTTACCTCCCAGTGGGCTGGGCCTGTAACAGATCCAAAAGCTGAAGGGTAGGTAAGTATTTCTGCTCCAGCCTGAACCAATGCCAGAGAGAGTTCAGGGAACCGCATGTCATAGCAGATAGCCAGACCAATCTGGAATGAAAAACAGCCTATTTAGTCCGCCTGCCCTATTTGTCACAGCATCTAGTCAAATCTCAGCTACCCCACTTAGGGCTTTCTATCCTCCACTACCACTTTCAAGTATTCCTATTCCCCTCCCTCATGTTCCTCTCCCACCCTCATCCTTTTGCATCTCCCACCTTGCCTGCTGGTGTGCTGACAGGAGACTCAAGACTGGGCCCAGGTATGGTAGAGTTGCTTTCACGCATAGGTCCCTGTCCTGGAATCTCTACATCACACAGATGTGTCTTCCTATAAGTGGCCACTACTGACCCTAGAGTAAGAGGGAGAAAGAGTACTCAGGGCTGGTGATCTGGAAGCCCAGCTTAGTTCCTCTCCTCCCAAGGAGGAGGCAGCTTATCAGGTAGGAAAAGTACAAAGGCCCCTAAAGCCCTTAGACAAGGAAACAGTTGAGACAACAGCGTTCTGGAGAATCTTAGTTTAGGTAGAAGAGTCTGAGAAGAGGCAGGCTAAAGAATTTTGAGGTCTCACCCTTGTTGTTCAGAATCACATGACAATTGTAGATTTTCTGAGTCTGCTTCCAGTCTTGGCCACGCTCATGGAAACCACCCAAGGACAGCCAGAGTCCACATTCCCTGAGGGGGAGGGGACACTGACGACTCTTCTCAAGGCTCTACCCTCGTATCTGGCAATCCTGGGACATTACCCCAAAAGAAACTACCTCTCCCTCCCCCTTTCCCTGATACCTGGCAAGCTGGGTATATTCTCCCAAAAGGTTCCCACTCAGTGGCTCAGACAGGCGTAGCGTCTCTTCAGGGTCCCGTGCAATGAAGTCAAATGCCTCAGGCAGGAAAGCCAGGCAAGCGCCCAGTCTGGCAGCCTCCCGAACCAGCTCAGCACATGTTTTAAAGTTCTGCTGCTTGTCTGGTGTCGATGTTACCTGGCACACAGCCACCAGGGGCAGTTCCCAGGAGGAAGAGGAGATAGCCATGGCTCTGGGTCTGCGAATAGCATAGGCAGGACTGATTTCCTAGTATGGGGAAATCCAAGTTTAATGATAAGGGCTTAAATGAGGAGGCAGGAAGGCTGGACTTCCTTTTGATTTTTCTCTTACAGGGCACAATGACCCATGGCACAATGACCCACTTATCAAATGTTCTGTAGATGGGTGGCACCTTAGTGTTTCCAACCCCCATTCATTTAACATTTATTGAGCATCTACTATGTGCCAGGCACTGAGGACCCAACAAAACATGTTACCTTGGCTGAGCACAAAGTACTGAGAGTCGAGGTATCCGCAGTCCAGGACACAAGAGAAAGGACAGGAGCTGGTGAGGAGGCCTGATGATAAAGCCCAGCCTGAAGAAGGTAAGGAAATCAGGACACCAGCCCCTTCCTCAAGCAATAAATTTCTAAGATCCTCTGACTTCTCTCTGCATGCTGTGAGGCTGAATCAGGGCCCTGTCTGTAAAAACCCCCAAGTCTTCAAAACACTCTACCGTAAGTAAGTATGGGCTACCAGAAGAGATCATAAAGTGGGGAGATGGAGAAAAGGGCTCTGCTCGGCACCTTAATATCCCGACTTCCAGTGATCTCACATCAAATTGAAGCCCTTTTCTTCAGCCAAACGTTTCCTCAGTTCAAAAGTCATCTCTAAGATACTCCCTTGGTTTTCCTAGCCGCTCTTCTCGACTGTGCACTTGCACAATTTTATTGACTCAAAGCATATTTCCCCCCTTCCACAAGAATCTCTGAGGGGAAGTCCACCCTCCCTCGCTCCTCACCACCTCACGGCGGGCAGGGGACAATTAGCACTCAGATCCCAACCCGCGCCCCTCTCTCCAGTTAACCCGTCCTTCCCCGCCTCTCTCAGGGGCAGAGCCTCTGTTGCACCAAGTTAAAGCACCGCAGGTGGAATTCGCCGCGGCGGGCAGGATGAGTAGTAGGTCCTACATGAAGATACGGCCAAAACCAATCGCAGGATCTGAACCGAAGAGCGGCCCGGAGACTGAAGCGCCGGGGCCAGTGGGCGGTAACTCGGAGACCGGATGTGACGCGAGGCGGGGGCGGAACTGCGCAGGCCGGAAGCCCAGCAGGCGGTGAAGATGGCGGAGAGCAGCGGTCGCGCCGGCAAGAGCAGCGGGAGCGGCGCGGCGAAGGGGGCGGTGTCGGCAGAGCAGGTGAGGAGCGGGGAAGGCGAAGGAGAGCAACCCGGCTGGGTCTGGAGTCGATTCGAGAAGAGCCGGGAGCCTGTGACTGGCGCAGGCCTTTACTTCAGTCCCACATTAGCGTGGCCGCCCAGAGAGGGGAGGGTCCAAGAGAAGGTAGCCGAGCCCCCGGGGAGAGAGTAGGCGGATTGGTAGGTGAAAGCCACGCCTCCGTTGGGGCGTTTGGTGAGCCTAGGGGAGAGAAAAACTCTGAGAAGCAGAATCTGGGAGGATGCACAGGTCTGAGGGAAGATGCGTGGTCACTTTCCCCACTTCTCCGCACCCTCAAACAGGATATGGCTGGGCAAGGCAGCTCGTAACGAACCTCAGGGGATTAGTCAACGGGCTGGTTGTGTAGTCTGTTACGTGACCCCGAAACCTCGCTGACAGTCGTCGTCAGTCTGCAGAGCCACGTGACTCCCATACTGGAACAGTCTAGTGTTCTATACTGTTTTGATTCGGGAGTCATTATTAGGTTGAATTTCTTCAGAGAGCAGAAACCCTTTTCTAATCCGAGCTTGCTTTTCTCCCATCGGTAATGTTTGATAAATTAATCAGAAAGCCCTTTGTGGCTTGGGAACCGTGGTTTGCTAATAGAGGGGCTAATGTTTACTAAGGGTGGGAAGAAATCTACATAATAGGAAGGGGAACGTAGTTAAAACAACAGCTCTTTTAATTACAGGTTCATTTATCAGTTTTTTGTTGAACAGTTACTACAGGCAAAGGTATCTGCATAAAGATTTTTAAAACTGACACCTGCAATGAAAGAGCTCTTAGTCTGGTGAGAAAAATAAGACATACAAAATGTTAATATGAGGCAGAAGTAGACCTAAGAGAGGTATAAAGTTATTTGGAATTTTGGGGAGATAAAAAGAGATAGTTTCTGATTTTAGGGGAAAAGGCAAGGGAGAAGGAACCTAATATTTTTGAGGGTCTACTATGTGTCAGATACTCTGCTGGGTACGTGAAACAGATACATGAAATAGACCTTGTTTTCAAGTTAATGGACAGACTCATTTCAGAAAAGACAAACCAAGCAATAAGCTTCACAGTGTTCCTCGCTGGCTTTCTCAGTGTCGGCTAGAGGAAGGACCCCTTCTAAGCAGGAGGTTATGAGATTGAGGGGCCAAGTGGGAAAGGGAAGTGTGGTACAGTGGGGTGGCTAAGTGAAGGAAGGCACTGGGGTCAGATAGATCTGTTTGAATCACATTTCTGCCATTTACTATCTATACATGACCTCCCATGAATTACTTCTTTTGGTCTCCTGGGAAAACATAATGATTCCTACTTCACTGTATTTCAATTATTAAGCTAGACAACGCATGCAAAGTGTTTTGCACAGTGATTGGAATATACTATGTGCTTAATAAATGCTAATTATTTTGTTTTCTAGAAGAGAATCCTTCATCTCGATTATAAAGGATGAGAGAAGTTAGTCAAACAAAGAAGGAAATGGAGAATTTTTTAGATAGAAGGAATAATGTGTTTAAAAACACTGTAGCATGAAACTGCCCAACATGTTTGGGATACAGGTGAACTTAAGGTTTGGGATGGACTGCAAAACTTGAATGTGAGGAAAAAGGGATAAAAGGAATCTGGGGTGTCCCTCAGGTTTCTGTCTTTGATGGTGCCATAGGGAATGTAGGAAGATGGATAAATTTGGGGAGAAAATAAGTTTGGGTTTGGGCATCTTGTAGGACATCCAGGTAGAGACATTTAGTACGAAGTTTTATTTATAAATCTTGAGTTACAGAAAGAAATCTGAGTTGGAGATACAGATTAGAGAATTATGAGTTTATGGATGGTAGACCAGGCTGTGGTTGGGGATGAAATCTTCTAGGGTTTGTACAGAAAGTGAAAAAAGAAGCAGAACAAGAGTGAAATCAGTATTTAAGGGATGATAGAGAAAGAGAAGCCCTTAAAAGAGACTGAAGGATTGTGATAATTGAGTTCTGAGGCTGTTCCTTGCTTAATGTTCTCTGGCTTTTGTTTGTATTCCAGAGAGACCACTGGGTAAACAATATTATATTTATCATTGCTGCAAATTTGAGCCACATATATCCCATATAGACAAGCTGGAAGCAATAACACATTGTACTAGGCACTTTAACTTGTTTTATCTTCTGTTAATTACTGTGATTTGAAGTAGCTGTATTGTCCTCCCTTTACAGATAAGGATATTCAAGTTTTAGAGACTTAAGTTAACTTATCCACAGTTAGTAACTAGAAGAGCAGGGCTTTTAATTGAGGGACTTGAGAATAAGACAGACCTATTTTTTTCTACTTATACTATGACCGTATTAGAGAGATTTGAGCTGAGCTTGAAGAATTGGATAGATGTGAACAAGTGGCAATGAAAATGGAATATACAAAATAAGATAAGAAGAGGAGAACTGGGGAAACCATAGATTGACATGAGGTGCAGTTACTGGTTTGTTTAGCCAAATCATGAGTAGTAGCAAGTTAGAAAGATGTGGTCTTTAAAGCAAGCTGAGTCTTTGCATGGCAAAGAATTTGGGACTTTTTAATGTAAGTAGTAATGGAGTCACAGAATATGTTATACTATTGATTTTTCCCTCATTACATAAAACAATATGTTCATTTTAGAAAATAAAAGAAAAAGTACAAAATAAGAAATAAGTAACCGGGGGGTGGGAGTAGCTCAGTGGTAGAGTGCATGCTTAGCATGCACAAGGTCCTGGGTTCAATCCCCAGTACCTCTGTTAAAAATAAACAAACAAACCCAGTTATCTCCCCACCCAAAAAATTTTTTTTTAAAAAGGAAATTACCCACGATCCTACTATCCATAAATAACTATTCTTATCATTTTGTAGTATATTCTTCAAGTTTCCCCCCCTTTATGTTTTTGTATATGTGTGTGTAAATAGAAAGGGAGGGCATGTGTATTGTACACATTTACATATTTTATAAAATGAGCATTATACAGTATGTGCTGTTTTGTAATCTGCTTTTTAAGCCTAGTAATATATCATGAATATCTTTCTACGTCATCCAAGTGTTAGCAGAATTAAATTAGCAGCAGTGTATATGATGGATTTGGAGAGTCCAAAAAGGAGATAATGTAGAAGATTCGCAGTAGTTCAGAGAAGAGGTAATGAAGGTCTCAACTAGGGTGATGTTGGTGAGCCTAAGAAAAGTTGCTAAGGTAGAGGCAATAAATTTGGCTTTTAATGGGATAAGGGTGTGTTCAAAGACGAAACCAGGGTTTCCTGTCTGAAGGTTAGAGTGGTGTCATTAGCAGAAATAGGGGAGACAAGAAGAGGAGCAGTTTAAAACGGGGCAAAAGATGATCAGTTTAGCTTTGAATGGCCTGAGTTTAAGGTCTCCATAGGACATTTAGGTGGAGATGTTTTGTAATAATAGCAGCTTCTATTTACTGACAATCTGTTGTATGCTGGATATTATTCTAAGTCCTTAATGTAATTAATGAATCCTCACAACATCCTGAGACAGATATTATCTCTCCTTTATTGGTGAAACACTTAGATTCAGAAAAGAAGTAACTTGTAATAAACTATAATGGAAAAGAGAAAAAAACTATACATGTATACATACATATATATGTAAAACCAAATCACTTTGCTGTACACCTGAAACTAACACAATATTGTAAATCAACTATAGTTCAACAACAACTACAAAAGAAGGAGTAACTTGCTCATGGTGAGACTTTGTAGCCGTTTCTGACTCCAGAGCTTCTTCCTCTAACTTGGAAGTGTGGATCTGGAATTTCTGAGAAAGCCTGAGTTTGTAGGCAATTACAATAAAGGCAGTTGTTGAAACTATGGAAGTAGCTAAGAATATCAACGGAAATAGTTCAGGTAATAAAGGGAGAAGTCCTATGAACAGAATCTTAGATTCGGTCTCCATTGTAGGGGTGAGAGAAATCTTTAGAAAAGAGAAAGGGGGTTGACAGAGATAGGAGAACCAGAGAACTGAAGGGTCCTGGAAACTAAAGGAGAATGGAGTACCTACATTATATCAGTCACTTGCCATATATCTTGGTTTAGTTCTCATTGTTACCTTGTGGTGATTCTCTTCCCTGTTTGATTTTGCCCCTAGGAGATATTTGGCAATGCTTAGAGACATTTTTGGCTGTCACAAATAGAAGGAACTACTACTGGCTTTTAGAGGGTAGAAGCCAGGGATGTTGCTAAACATAGAGTGCACAGGACAGCTCCCACAACAAAGAATAACCTGGCCCAAAATATCAGTAGTGCTAATGTTGAGAAACCCTACCCTATGATATATTAGCTCCATTTTATAAGTGAAAAAAAGAGAAGTAACTTGGCCATATAGCAAGGAAGTGGCAAAACTAGGATTTGAACCCAGGTCAGAAAGTCAGAGGTCTGGGCTTTTCCACCATGCCACGTTGCTAGTTGAAGGAAGAGTTTCAAGAAGCAGATTGTAGATTGAGAAAAGGTCACTGGATTATGCAGTTAGTTAGGAGACCATTCATGATCTCTGTCTGAGAAGATAGTTTAATAAGTAACAATAGTTTAATAACTAGTATAGACAGAAGACAATCAGAAGGCAATTTAAAGTCGACTGGGAGTGAATGAGAGGTGAGACAGTGAGTATAGACTAGTCCTGAAAAAATTTGATGAAGAGAAGGGATGAGAATCATCATTTGATGGAGTAGTAAGATCAAGTTTTAAAAAACTTGTCAGAAAAAGTGGCACTGCTTGTCAGAAACAGCGGCACTGAACTGAAAAGAAGATATTTAGTGCAGCGATAGCCCAGAAAATGCTTTTCCAAATGCATCTGCACGTAATTCTGTATCTCTTCTATTCTTCTGTTGAACCTAATAAGAGTACATATCATGTAGGTAAGAAGACCAGATGACATTTGGGGGATAAATGTAATGATTGTATTTCCCAGAGCTACCAGAGTTATATGGTATTGATTAAACAAACAAACAAAAAGAAAACACAAAAATAAATCAAGTGGA